AATCATGTGAAATGACGTGAGCTGTTGGGGTAGTATTTCTGTTTCAAAAATATCAAAGACGAAACATATAGACAGATAAAAACAATACACCCAAAACATCGATTATGGGCGCGTATAAATTCTTATCCTCTAAAACACCAAACCCCTTCCACTCCCATTTATACCCTTCAAGTACCTATGATAATTACTAGTAATTTGTTTTAACGCGACACAATATTATTCTTTTGATCTTTAAATGAACAGTCTTTCATATACTTGGATCTATCGGGAAGCAAAGCTAGATTTGCATGATCGGCTGTATCTTTATAATCCAATATTAAAGAGAGAAAGATTCTCAATCTGGAGAGAAATGCAAAAAGGTCCAAATATTAAGTTTTCCCATGCTTTCCATGTTTTGATGACGTTGATTTTATATGACATTAAAAAGATTAGGAATATTTTTTTAAAGTTAATTTATGGTTTGTTTATTGGTTTAGATTTATGGCCAACCACAACACCAAGGCCAACCTTGAAACCTACTGATCTCTCAGACATCTATTGTGGCAATGTAAGTCAAGTTGGTGATATCAAAATTCGAAAATATTTTAAGTATACATGTATTCAAGTTTGTATCAAAGAAGCAATACTTTTTTATTTGATCTTAATTTTCTAATTATTTTAATTGAAGGATCCTACATTATGTCCGTTTGGGTATGTGTGTAGATTTACAGGGTACTGTATGTATATATGTAAGTAAATTTAACCCTCTTACTGCCAGAGGGGTCATATATGGGCTCTACCTACTGGCTGCCACAGGGGTCATATATGACCCATCAAAATTATTTTATATTAAGTTTTGATCTATTCAAGATTTCAGTTCATTAATTACTTATTTATTCTTATGCATTTATTTGCTTCAAATTATAAAAATTGTATCTTGTCGTGGGCATAATTATACTGAAGTAGGCTACAACTGTAATACGTTGACGACGTCAAACTCGCATTGATGACGTCAAAAACGTCACAATAGATAATGGTCTCTTCAAGAAATTGACAAATTATAAAGATAATGAATAAAACAACTATTGAACTCTCTTTCTTATTTAATAACTACATATTCACAATGAGAATTACAATGTATATAAAAAATATAAATGAAAATGAATATTAGCGAGAAATATGATTATGACTTCATAAATACATCATACTATATTTCAAGAGAAGAATTGAAATTTATCTTTGTTAGCAATTTAAAAAAAGTATCATTATGTGCAAAGTATGACCAGAATACTAGTATTGTCTTTTCCCATCATAGAAACCAAATAAAATTTAGGATGTTTCCCTTTCGTGTTATTGAGGGGCTGAACATTTGATCCCTGGGGAGGGGAGGGGATAGGAATTAGGAATGAAACACTTTGCCCTTGAAAATTTTGCATGTATTTGATTATTAATCTTTTCTCTACTTATGGGAATTATGGGAAGTTTTCTAAAAGAAAATGAATAAAAATTAAATTTAAAAAACTGTCCCTTAGAAATATATATTATTTCCTGTAAGGGTTTTAAATAAACATTCTGACTCAAGAAGATCATACTTAAACACGCCACGGCCCCTGGGAATTTTAGTTTTCAGAGTTAAGTTTCATAAACATAATCTACTCTAATTCCTTGCGTTGGATGCAAAAATTAAAAAAAAATGGATCGACTAGTAAAAAAACCCAATCAGGAGTACTACAAGTGCATCTTATGACCTATGGACTTCGATTTAAAAAAGAAACAAAAAGTTTATGTTAGAAATTGTTCATCTTCAATAAATTATTAATTATCAAGAAGAAAAAGAGAAAAAGATTTCGCCGCACCGACCATGGTTACTTCAACATGCAGGTGAATCCGTGTCTGTGTGACGCTTCTGATTTCTTTATCTCCGATATAAGATCATAATATTTCGATGTTTTTCATATTACAGTCACTGTGGATTAGCTATATATTATTTGCAAGCGTGTATGTCAAAGCATTCACATAAACAAACCCACCCACCCACCCCTTAAAAAGTACGAAAAAAAGAGAAAAAAAGATAAAATGTATTTTAATACATCAGTATATTCAAATATAAATTCAAGATTTTACATTATCCACACACTGTACACTCTGGGACTCAATCAAACACTCCTAAATGTTGTCAATTTCTGTTGACCCCCCCCCCCCCTCAAGCTTTGGGGTGTTAATGCTGCTCCAGACCCCTTTGTTGGAGTCTGAAAAGCATTAACATTATCTTTGCCCAGTTATAAAGATTAAAATTTTCAGCTATTCAAGTTATACTTGTTCACACCTGTAAATACGCGTAAGCTATGTGTTTCTTTAACTCCATATCTTCCCGAAATTTTTTACAGTATTTTATCAGAAGTGCCTAAGGATTTCGTTTTAAAAAATACCCTGCTTAAAATCTGCAAGCAATTTTGAACAGAATAATTGGATTAAAAAAATTGACAATCATGTAGATTTCTTAAATTTGGTCCAGCTACAGATGTTACTTATGTTATCACTGAGGGAGCCCAAGCATAAAGTGAGCATAAACTTACCATGTTTTACACGGTTTAATGCATATCGACAAAATTGGGTGGAAGGAGGGGGGGGGGGGTACGGCAATCGGAGTTCCTCGGATGACTCGTACCTTGCACATAACCTCGAACGTCAACGGTGATATTCAGTCATGTGATCTTATTTGAATTTCATTCAAATATTATACTTTTGAAATCCGAGTTACTTTGATGCACGCCCAACACTATGTTCTTGCTTTCAAGGAATACTAATATTTGGTTGTAGTTAACACGAGGAATTACACAAATAAAGAAACCCTTTCTAAGAACTTTGGGCTATGACAAGGCAGTTTCTGGCGGAGAAATGTAGCGATCTCATGGATCTGATGCGTATTCCTCCACCTATCACATCCGAGGTTTGAATGGAGCGTAGGATTGCCGATTGGGGGTACGGTCCCTCAAGCCTACTCTTCCGGTTCCTACGGAACAGTTTTCCAAATAAACAGAATGTTTATGAAAATTAAAATTCATTGGCGTTTAGAACTTCTTTAGTCATATTCAGGTTAATGTATATGTACTACTAAAATGTTACTGATGCATTAAAGTACTTTGAATTAGGTTTCATTCACAAACCAAAAGAATTTTGATTAATTTGTAAATGTTATTACGAGATTACATTATTTACCCCCACCCCACCCCCACCCCTAACAAGTATTTGTAACTACCGTGTGTGTGTGTCGTTTGCTATAGCCCCTTCCCCCGCTTTTTGGCTAGTTCTACTTCTTTTTTATTACTTTTTGTGTCGCGTTTATAACAGAGCGGCACTTAATTAATGATCACTTTACCCGGCGTCTGTCTGTTTGTCCGTCTGTCACACCTTATACTAGTTTCTCGAGAACTATATATAGATTTCATATTTTGCACATATATAGCTGCTTTGATTTGGACCATTGACCTACTTTCTGAAATTGTTGACAGTGCCGATATATGTAATGTAATTTTGACAATTAAAAGGTAGGTCTATGCTACTTGTATTTACTATGTGCACTGTTTGTTATAAAACTGTTTTAAAAACATATCAGCATTACAGTCCACTTGACCTTTGACCTACTTTGCGAAGGTTTTCGATTCTTCATATTACGTACATGTATTAATTAATTAAAAATTATTACTTATAACATAGGCGTCGGAACCGGGGGGGGGGTTAGGGTTGGCGTAAGTTAGCGCCCCTCTCCCTCTTTCAACATCTACTTTAGGTCAAAAAAGTGTTTATAAAATAATGGTACTGTAAGGAGTTCCTACTCCCCACCCCGCCAAAATAGGATTTTCATGTTTTGGCAATGGAGACTTTGCCTTCTTCTTCTTCTTTTTTTTTTTTTGCTCGTCAGGGTTTTTGAAATGTTTATGCGGCCGAATTTATTCGGGAGGTATTTTGTTTTTGTCCTGACTGCATGTCTGTTTATATGTTTATCTGTCTGTTGTCTACTTTAACCTTCGCCATAACTTTTGAACCGTGAGAGATAGAGACTTCATATTTGGTATGCTTACTCCACTTATTAAACAGTTTCAACGGACACCAAAGACATTGATCGTGTGACCTTGACTTTGACCTGTTTGCTAAAAATTGATTTTTAGAACTTTGTTGCCGCAGGGCGCATAGTGTTTCACAAACACATCTTTTCTCTCCTTCACTCATCCCGCCACATTTCAATCCGTTACGATAGATCTTTTTTTTCCCCTTTTTTTTGCATGAAGTGTATACAAACAAGGGCAATTAAAAAGCTGACCACTCTTACATTTACTTACATCTGAAAGCAGGCAACACATGCGTAAATTCCTTGGAACACTCTAGTTTTGAAGTAACTTGCCGCATACATGTTTGACATTTTCTTGATTTTCTGCACTTGAAATCGTAAAAAATGTGCTAATTTTGAATTCGTTTTTCAGCAAAAACGAGAATGGAAATAATATCTCAATGATGAATTCCTCGTGTTTTTTTTTTTTTTTTAGGTTTTGTTTGTTTTTGGATGTTTCTATGTTTAAAGAATTCAATCTTAATAATTTAAACATTCAAAAAAAATTAATGGTAATAAACGTAAGAGTTACCTTAATATCTTTTGTATTCAAGATAGTATTGATTGTAAAGAAAACGTGCATTTATTTTGTCTCAAACCTCTTTTCTATAAGCGAAGACAGGGGCTTATTTGCAGAGCGTTTAATTTCCTTATCAAAATTTCACAAAATAGTGTTGAATTTATAATTAAAATACTTTTAATTAATAGTACTCATCCTCTTCTCCGAATATTTATAGGTAGTAATTTGGAACAGCGTAAAACATAATAAAAAACACTCTGTTTTTTGTTAAAAACGTTTATATTTTTCATATTCTTTTACAGTATGAATCTCTGCCAAATTAAGGTCAAGATCTAGTAAATGGAAGGTGCCTACAGATTTTTCAAATTTAAGAAATTAACTCCTTTAATGATGCTTTATAATATTAGCTTGGTCAAAATATATGTTTCGGGGCATAATTTGTAGAAAAACATGATGAAAAACCATATTTTAAATTGTCATTTTCAATGAAAAATTAAGAAAACCAGTATTGAAAATGGGAGTTTTTTCCATATCAGGCAAAGAAAATGTATCCAGATTGCCTACAGATTTTCAGAAAACGGTAATTTGTATGTTCTTAGTCTCTACTTTAAAATAATGTCAAATTTAAGATAGGTATCGGGACTACTTTTCATGTGATTTCAAATTGAATTCCATGAAAATACTTTATTTTCTACATAATTCTATTAGAGCCGTAAAGTACGGGAAAAAGAAAGTTGAAAGTGATTATGACGTCATAATGGATTTAACACTGACAAGTTATTCTAAAGTCATTTACTAGATCTTGACCTTAAGCGGATTTTTTTTTTGACTGTGACGTTATACTAGCAAAGGAGCTGACGTCATTAAATCAGAATTGAAATGTCCCTGTGTTCGTTATTTGCAAAATCATTACAATCAAAAATTATCTTTATGATGTTACTTATCATTCAAAGAATATTCAATGCATTCTGATACTTGTACATGTAAGTAAAAGTTCTGGCGTGTCAACTGCACAAATTAGACACAGTTCTGGCAGTAAGAGGGTTAAAGGAAAAAATTACTAATGATATGTTCAGTGTACATCTTAAATCCACGAGGAAATATACAGAATCGTGTAACATGATGGATAATTTAATTCTCCAGTTCAAAATATGAAAAGGAAAACCGTCACAATTTTCAGGCCTTTGTTAAGTATTCACATTATAATTTTTATTTTTATTATTTATTCTAGGGGATAAATAAGGAAGAACACATACAGTTGCTTACAAAGTGGAGGAAAAGCGATTTTGATTTGTTAAAAACAACCTTGTAGTTAGCCATTCAATGAAAATAATTACTTAATTTGAAACCAACTATGACAAAAAAAGAAATATTAATATCACATAAGTTTTTCCTTTATATATATATATATATATATATATATATATATATATATATATATATATATATATATATATATATATATATATATATATATAAAATCCAAATTCAAATGATAAACTCAAACTTTTATCTAAAGCGCTTTCGCCCCATGCGGGCTCATCAGTAGATTTGAAATTGTAAACAAGTTACATTATGACGTCATTCTCGTGACGTTATGTAGGCAACGTTAAACATAATGATTGTGACGTAATAATAATCACAGTTCAATGAGGCGCACAGATAAAGTTTTACAGTTCATCTGATCAAAGTTAAGCGCCTATTATAAATGTACAATAATGGAGACATTTTATATAAAATGTACATAATAAAATAATTTGATATAAATTCCTTTTAGCAGTTCAATTTTGGTTTAAACAGATTTATAAAATATTGTTCTTTGGCTTTCCGTAATTGTTCATTTTCCTCTTTTATTTTGTAAAAAGGAAATATATAAAAATGTCCTTTGCCACAAGAATCAAAGTGTTCACTACATTGCGTGTTTCGTATGGTCGGATCCTTAATCTGTTGTTTGTGCACGCGAACACGATCGGCTAATTTGGTTCCGGTTTGTCCTATATATATATATATATTTGGTTCCGATTTGTATATATATATATATATATATATATATATAAAAAGAGAAAAACTTATGTGATATTAATATTTAGTTTTTGGTCATAGTTGGTATATATATATATATATATATATATATATATATATATATATATATATATATATATATATATATATATATATATATATATATATATATATATATATATTAAACTTAATCGGAAATGATACTGTATATTTTATATTTTGAAATTTCATTTGTATAATGTGTGAAAGTTAGTGCAAGATTTGTACATTAACAATTACGCCAACTTAACGCTACCTACATCTATTATGACGTCACAATGAACTTTATGCTTTTGACGTTACCAGGTAACCTACCTGACATTTTATATAGTTTTGTGCCATGCGGATTGTGGGTTATTTTGCGTCTTTCCCACTCACGTTGTGGGTACCATGGATGGTTTATGGGTCATTATATATTGACCCACAAACCATGTGCCTAAAATTTTGTTTATGACAATAATATAGTAACTATATTCATTTTTTACAAAAAAAAATTTTTTGACCCATAATTACACAATCAAAAAATGACCCACAATGCAATTTTATATATATGAAATCTTACCGCTGAGTGCATCGGCAGGATTTTGCGCGTGTCCCACAATATTTTATATACTTTCCCCATGAGTATTGGAGTGATAAGGAGAAACGGCTAGATTTTATAGCCTGATTTCAGTGAATCATTATTAAATTGTAACGATGTTTTTTATTTATATGTATGAGATTTTATTTTCAATGTACTACATTGTATAAATCTAAAAGAAAAAAAAGGCTAATTTATTTCAAAACTTTTTATCGTACGATAGCTGTGTTCTTCTTAAAGTTTATATATCTAAATATAAATTCTTATAAAGATGTGAAAGAAAGCTTCAATAACACATTTTTTGAAAGAAAAAATGCGACTAAAATGTTACTATAAAGATCGCGCGTGAGATCTATGTGAATCGCGATGTTTCAATAATTAAAAAAATACGTTAGGTTGAAGTCTCAGAAAATCATTCACAACTTTAGGTTTATTCAGAAAAAAATATCACACATTAAGATTTAAGGTAAGTGTAATCAAATCAACAATTATTTTACATTTTATAGATGGAAAAGTATATACTCAGTATCGGACGGTGTTCTATATATCCAATGTATTGACCCAGAATAATGTATAGTTGCCTGTATTTTGATCCCGCAATTTCTATATCTTTTGGGGAGGTCAACATTACCGCTTCATTGCAAAAATTTTCAATTCATTTACGCTACATTTCTTTGAAATTAAATTTCGGGTGATCAATACCGCTACATTCTATCAATAAGACTATGGCCGATTAAAAATCATTACCGATACAAATCGAATCAGCCAGGAATGGCACAAAATTATACTTGTATACTGACCCACAACTCGCTTCTGTACATTGATCCCGCAACATTATATATATATACTTATAGTTAATGACCTACAATTCTATCATACATACCTTTATAAATCTTAAAAAATATAAGTTAATTTAAAAAATAGAACATGTATGACAGAAAATGTCTCTTAAAATAAAAGTTGAACACAATCTTTTAAACAGGGTGTCCCGCTTCTAAGGAGGATTTCATTCAACGTGAATACAACATAAGTAATAAAATTAATGCAAGACGCAGATCAGGGAAATGTTGTTTTACAAGCCTACGTATTACATGTACATTAACACCGGTCAAAATGATTTTTCTGTCCTAATTTAAAGGGGTTTTTTTTCTAACTTTTTCCTTTTACTGGCACCGGGACCCAATCATGAGATTGAGATTGTACGTTTTGCTACCACATCCAAGGAGTTCATACAAGTTATCTCTGGATTTAAACAAAGTGGTATACGTTACTAATGCCTTTCTGACAGTGAAAGGAAAATAGGTAAATAAACGCCAACCATTCCTCAGGTATACCTGTGGACCATGATAATATAGTCTGTCTCACCGTACGAACTTGACAATTACTTTTACATATCAAAATCCATTTTACATGTATATGTACCTGGACTTTCAAATTCAAACTATATCATACTGAACTTTTCAATAGATTGTTCTTTTTTTCCAAAAACTATTCTTTGATAGGAACCCTCGAGTTTCATTAGTACAATCATATATATTCACCGTCAATGAAAACGCAACACTCTACTTTTAGGGTGAAAAATTATATACGGGATATAACTATGCATCAAACAAGTTATGACATCTTTTACTGTGCCAAATCAGTTATTTAATGGTTGAATTGTTTTCATTCGATTACCGAAAGTTGATTTTTTAGCCCTCTTAACTGATTTCATTTAAATAAAACACCCCCCCCTTTCCGACCATTTAATCAAAACATGCTAGTCCGCCATGTACAACATACATGTACGCAGTCCGATTTCTACCATGCATTAGGTTTATCAATGTCTTTATCTGAGCGAAATAAATATTCTTGGGCATTTTTAATTGCCTGTTATTCAGATAATGCGGTCGAATTTTCTCTAACTTGGCGTAGTGTAGTAACTCTTGGACTTCCGGTCAAGAAACTGTTATTTATGCTATTGAAACACATGAGCCTGATGAGTCGTTTTATAAAAAAGTGAACATTTGCATCTGCAGCTCTTTTTTTCTTTATTTTGAGAATCTCCAGCATTAGCAATAAAAATCAATCATTTTGAGGAAATATAGGCATCATATCCGGTAAAGAAAGAAGGATTTTCCCCATAGTATGAATGAATGCTTAGCGTAGCGAAATATAAAATGAGTAACTACATGCAGGCAGTTTGCGGCGGAGAAAAATGTATCAATCTGATCCATATTCCTCCACCTATCACACCCGAGGTTTGAGTGAACGAAGCGGAGTCAGCCGAGAATTGTCGATAGCATCCGAGGTAGTTTTTCCGACCTTCGACGGAAAGAGCCGAGATGGTGCGAATGCTCTCCGATCAGCTGAGAGACTACCTCGAATGCAATCGGCAATCCTCGGCTGACTCCGCTACGCTCCATTATGTGCGAGGTACGAGTAATCCGAGGAACTCCGATTGCCTCGAATGTGTTACAAAATCATTCACTTCTTTTCAACAACTTTCAAATGAATATTGGGTGGCTTCTAATTTGTTAATTCTTGTCCATACCTAAAAGAATGTTAAAATTTGCAAAATTTGCAAAGGAGGGGATAATCAACTGAATACGAAGCGACTCCATTTTGCATAAAATTTTAACATCTGCTGCTTTTAATACATTTGAGGTGGGTTTTTTTTCCGAGCTTTACAGAGACAACAGATGGACTAATGGGCACTTACGAATACATTTAATATGGCATTGGAAAATGTATTCCAATCTTCAAGTTAACTTAATTACCGTATTCCTTGAAAGACGGTATTATATACTTGAAGTTTTTTACAGTCTTCGGATTATGCACTTCCTCTCTTTTATGATTGGTAGAAATTGCATGATGAGAAAGTTTTCAATTATTTCATTGGTTCAAAGACTGGTCTCCACGTCACACAGTGGGATTCTAATTATCCTTGTTTGAAGAAGGTAATGGAATACAGCCGAAGTTTGCCAAAAGCTCTCAAAGTTTACGGAGATTACCGAGCGACAACCGTGGTAGGGCTGATGCCAGTAAAAAGCTAATGTAGAAATACAAAATCAAGAAATTTAAAAGAACTATACGGCCTGATGGGTGTAGATCAGTTTACTGTTTAAGATTGTTGCTAAAGACGGTAAGCTTATTTAAAAAGTTCTATTTGTATGGTTAAAAAATAAAAGTTTTTGCAGACAGACGGGTGGATAAAATCATTATGCCCAGATCCTCGACCTTCTGGTACATAAAAAGTACATGGAATATAATGAGATATAATCTCACAACTTTTAAAAATTCATGAGTTTGGCAAATGTTTTTTTTTTAGTTAAGGGTGTAGGATTATAAGCTTCACACAGAATAAAAATATATAAGCGAATTGAAACCGGATGCAATGCAGCTTTAACATGTACCTGAGTGCTTGACATGTTGCTAAAACAACTTACCACTATGCACCTCAGTCAGAATGGACTCACCATCGAGAAAACTCGTAATATTCATACTTACGAATACGAGGGTTGTTCGAAAAATTCGTGGACGAAGTCGATCTTCATTATACTACTTTCAAGAAATTTAAAATAAGCTCAACATCATGTGTACAAATATTTGTTTTGTTAATTTGTGAATTATCGTTCCTTGGGCTTTGGAAGCAAATTGATGGGGGGGGGGGGGGGGGGGGGTAATGAAAATGGGGGGGGGGGGCTCTAAGTTAAGCCGCTTAAC